TACTGAGAAGCAGACAGGCTCGTGGTAGGACCTTCACGTTTTCCAAAGTTAAAATTAAATTTGAAAAAAATTAAACTTGAATTTTATCATTGGGCAATAAATTCAATTAGCTGTTTTACTGGAAGTGACAGGCTCATTTTTGAGAAAATGTCAGCCACATGCCTAAATCTGAATAACTAGTTTGTATGTGGACCACCTTTTCAAGTAAAGACAGTGTTCCTAAAAAGGAGGGTAGTTCATCTTACAACTCGTAAAGTGCTTTATGCATGGGAAATAACTGCTCAATGGACATAGAGTTTTATTTTAGAGGGACGGAAATGCTTTGGAATGGGATGGAGGTGGCAGTTGCATAACACTGTGACTGTATTCAATGCCACTGATTCGTTCATTTTATTTTTAAAATTTTTTTATTTTTTTGTTTTTTTTCTGGTACCAGAAATCGAACTCACGACCTCATGCTTGCCAGGCAGGTGCTGTGCCGCTGAGCTAAATCCCCAGCCCCTGATTTGTTCACTTTAAAATGATTAATTTTTGTTATGTGAATTTTAGCTCAGTAAAAATGTGAAAAAGTGCTTTATATGTAATTTTCATTTCATCCTCAAGTATAGTAAAAGACTTCTACTCAGAGATCTAGAGTTAATAAAATTAATTTTTTTTACTGATGCATAAGACATTGTTCACTTGATCTTAGCCAAAGACCAAGAAGCAATAATAAATGACAATTTTAAGTAAAATTGACATTTTACTTACTACCAGCGCATGTTGATAATACAGTAGCTACTAGTAAATATTATACTATTGCTTTAATTTGCGACACAGTGTCAATAATTTACTACTTTCACCATAAGTGCAAATGTCAATGTGGTAAAAAAAAAGTAGGGGGCAAATAATTTATGGGTATTATTATGAAGATAGCTTTGACCCATATGGAACTTTGAAAATGTCTGAAGGGCCCTAGGGACCTGATAATATTTTGAGAATCATTGCTCTATATTAAATTCAAACTGCAGTAGATGTGCAGTGTGGTGTCTGGAAAATTGTGGGAGATTTTATTTTGTGGTTTTTTGTTTTTTTTTGTCTCTTTCCTTGAGACAGGGTCTCACTATGCAGTTCAGGCTGAACTTGAGCTCACTTTGTAGCCCAGGCTGGTCTCAAACTCGAACGATCCTCCTGCCTCAGCCTTCCGAATGTTGGGATTACAGGCACGTGCCGCCACGACCGGCAGTTGTGGGAGATTCTGAATCACAGAAATATGATTCAGTTCTAGTTTCTGTCAGCCGCTGGACAAGTTGACCTTCAAGGACTGAAAGTCATAGTTATCCCTGTCTGTAGCTGGGCTGGAAAGTGAAGGAGATGTTGACTCATTGTGAGGATTTGGGGATAAAGCACACAATGCATTTGTTGAAATAAATGACTTTTAGCATTAAGCAGCAGGACTTAGTGTTGGGAAGCCTGCATTTCCAGGGACTGAGGCACCTCTGCCTTCTGGGGCCCTCCCACTTTAAGGAGCCTCTCCTTTTCATTAGTCAGCTTCTCCATCTGTCTTAGGCTACCTCAAGCAGTCCCTAAGCATCTGAAAGAACGTTTTTCAGCTTAAATAGCAGAAGGGGATGAAGTTTAAAGGATAGTGGGTGGAAAGGAAGGTTGGGAGGGCAGAGGGAGCCCCTTACATGAGAAATAGGGCAAAGAAATGAAACCTGCACTGAGCCTGGGTTGGTTCCCTCTCTCTTTGACCCACCATACAAAATTAGGACCTTGTCTTCAGCCACTCATAAAGGTACTGACCATTGGTTTTGCTTTTTTATAGGGTATAAAACATCTTCAAACCTATTACCACAAGGAACTCTTACACACTTCTGCGAGGTAAGCAAGGCTGTGATAACGACTGCACAGAGCAATGAAGAAACTCAGGCACAGAAAAAGGAAATGAGGAACAAGTATATGGAGGTACTAAGATTCAAATTTAAAGCCAATCATGGTGGCACACACCTGTAATCTCAGCACTTGGGAGGCTGAGGCAGGAGAATTACTGGGAGTTCAAGGCCAACCTGAACTACATAGTGAGACCCTGCCTCAAAAAACAAAAGCAAAAACAACAAAAAACAAAATTTCAAGTTTAACTCTTTAATCAGACCAGCTTTCCTTTGTGTCCTCTTAGGCCCTTCTGGAAGCGAGTTTATGTTTTGTTTTTTGTGCCAGGGATCAAATCCAAGGTGAAAGGTAGTATGATTTTTTTTTTGTCTTTTTGAGACAGGGTCTCACTATGTAGTTCAGGCTGACCTTGAACTCACTTTGTAGCCCACGCTAGCCTTGAACTCACAACAGTCCTCCTGCCTCAGTCTCCCAAATGCTGGGATTACAGGTATGCACCAATAGGCCTGGGTCGAATGACTATAAACATGAATTCAGAGTCAAATCAATTGTGCTCAAATCCTGACTTTTATAGCTCCTGATGTATAAAATGGGGGAGAATAATACCTGTTGATAAGATGCTCACATAGCTCAGGGCATTGTTTTGGGAGTTTGATCTTGGGATAGGGCTTTGTTTTCTAGTCTACAGTGGCCTTGAACTCAGTATGTAGTCCAGGTTGGCCTCGAACTCATGGCAATCCTCCTGTCTCAGCCTCCCAAGCGCTGAGATTACAGGTGTGTACCATCACACCTAGCTGTACAGTGCATATCAAAAATTTCAATCCAAAACTCAGAGTGGTGGTACTTGCCTGTAATCTCAGCCTGAAGTGAGGCTTAGGCAAGAGGATTACAAATTTAAGGCCAGTCTGAGTAATAGTTCATAGCTGTATGGGTTTAATCCCTAGCACAGCAAAAAGAAAAAGAAGAGAAAACCACTGTAATCCATTTTAGTCATTAGGGGAATAAGGAGACACAAATTCTCTAATTTATTGGTCAGAAAAGTTCTTCCAAATATCTTAAATATTGGTTGAGGATTCAGTTGAAGATTCTTTTAACCCAGATTAAGAGTCAAACAGTGATACTGTATGATATTCTATTACAACATGATAGAATGTGAACATGACACGCCAACCTGTTTGCTCTCTCTTCATGGATATCTGGGAACTGTGGAATTGGCTGAGTGGAGGTCAAATGCCTATTGGCCGAGCCCTTTGCCCACTCCACTGGACACTAACTAGCTTAGAATCGGGTGCTAGCATCAGTCAAATCAATGGCCACCCACCTGTGGAAATCCATTCTAACACCTTTCTGAGAGCTGGCTGGAACAATTTCTACCAGCAGAGGACTGATGACTGATGGGAACTTTGGACAATGGGAGAAACATGGAAAAATATTTTATTGTTATTTTTCATTTGAGTCATTTATCTAATCTATTTCTTTTCCTATTCTATAAATGTGATAATCACATACAGAAAGGAGACATCAGGACAGCAGCATATAAATTAAAGTGTAAGTTTTACTGGGAGTTGTGGAGGCTGAGGCAGGAGGATTGCTGTAAGTTCCAGGCCTGCCTGGGCTACATAGTGAGTTCGAGGCTCAGCCTGAGCTGGGTGTGGTGGCACATGACTGTAATCCCAGCACTTGGGAGGCTGAGGCAGGAGGATCGTTGCAAGTTCGAGACCAGCCTGGGCTGCAAAGTGAACTCAATGCCAGCCTGAGCTGTGTAGCGAGACCTTGTCTCAAAAAGACAAACAAACAAACAAACAAAAAAAAAAAAAAAAGTATAGGTTTTGATACGCAGTACCACAAGAAAGAAAGAGAGAAAGAAAAAAAAGGCCAGCCTGCCTTAAGGCTAATAAGAGGTCACCACTGAGCTTCAAATTTAGCCCTGGTTTTTCTGGAAGCTGGGAAGATGGAACGCTAGACACTATCAGTTGCATAACACTAGCTCAGAAAGGAGGAAGCCACCAGTTTCTCTGAGAGTAAAACAAAAGGCAAACCTTACTTTGAACTGTAATGTAATTTCCTACTTGAGGTGCATTTTTTTTTTTTTTTTTTGAGACAGGGTCTTGCTATCTATTCCAGGCAGGCCCTGAACTCGGTACTTATGTAGCCTAGGGTGGCCTCTAATCTGAGTATTCGGATTACAGGCATGCACCACTACTTTCTTGAGATTTTATTTTAGGAGGTCAGCCTAATGAGTGAAAGTATTTTTTCTCTGTTGGCTTTCGATTTGAATTTTGTTTTAATAAGTGCAGCTTATTCCGGGCTTCATTTTTTTCATCTGTAAAATGGAGACAACAGCAAAATACCTATTAAAGTTGTTGTAAAGATTCAGTCATCTCTAAATTAATCAGGAAATCTGACGAGCCTACCACTCCTCTTGCACAATTCCAGATGGGGGGGGTTACGGCGGCAAAACAAGATCGTTATCTTCAAGTAGTTTTTACATTCTAGTCGGATGGAAAGACAATAATCGTTGAAAATAAACACACTTTCACAAAGTTTTGTGGAAAAAACACAACAAATGCATGGGTAGATTTCATTTGACTTGTTTTCTCAGCCATTTTCCAGAGAAGCGAAGGGCATAATGTTAAAATGCAAAGATAATGCAGGCTTGGAGTGTGGAATTCTGCAGGCTAGTGTGGATAGGTTTTAATTTTTGTTTTTGATCTAAAACTCACTTCTCCATTGTGCTTTTGATTAGGAGCTGAGGCTGAGATAGTCTGAAATTGTATTCTGAGTATAATACACTGTATTTACACGTATATTAAATTAGATTTATTCCAACTAGTAAGTAGAATGAGTCCTGCCCAGGGCTGTAGAGCTAGGAAAAGATGCCTCCTGAAAATCTTTAGAATCACTTTGTTTTTTTCGATATGTCACTATTCTTCCCCGTCCATTTCCTATTTGATCAGTCCATTTTAGGCTGGGCGCCTCTGGGAGTCTCTCCCCTGCCCGGCGCTTTCTGCAGGCCTGCGGCCACGCCCACATTCTGGGGCGTGACCTGCGGCCTCGGCCCCGCCTCCGTCCGACCCGCGGGAGCCGCCTTCTTTCCCTGACCGCCGACTGTGCGCAGTGGCGTGCGCGCGCGCCCCCGCTCGCGGCCCGGCTCGGCGTCGGGAGCGCGCTCTGTGTGGCCGCTGCCGCCATGTTGTTGTGGTTGTGAGAAGGCGGCGGCGGCGGCGGAGCAGCCGGACGAGACGCGCCAGCGGCCGAGCCCTGGCCCCCCGCCGGCCCTGGCTGGAAGCCTGGTGGGGTGGCGGAGGAGGCCGTGCCGTGGCGGACTTCGCCATGTCCTGCCGCTCGGTAAGAAGCCTCCTCCATCGCTTGGGGTGGTGAGGAGGAGCTGGAGGAGGGGCCGCCGTCGGCCCTGGGGCGGCCGCTGTCACACTCCAGGGAGGCAGTGGCCCGCCGGGGGCTGGGGATGGTTTTCGGGGCCCGCGGGGAGGGGGCGGCCCAGGTGGTTGTCTTCGCCGCCGCCAGCGGGAGGCGCAGAGAGTGCGAGAGCTGCGGCCCGGCTCGGCCCGGACCCGAGGCGCGGGGGAGGCGGGGTCCCCGGCCTGGGCGGCCTTCCCGGACCCGGGGAGCACTGGCGACGGGGCGCAGGGTGTGCGGTGCTACCTCCCGAGCGCCCGGCCCGATGCCGCTGGGTCCCTGGGAGGTGGGTGTGCATCCCTCGGCCGCGGCTGGGTCGCTGGGAGTCGACTGTGGGGCTGGGGGCCGGAGGTCGGGGACCACTGGAGCCCGGGGCGAGCGGTGCTGGCCAGGCCTTGTGGGAAGGAGGAGTGGCCGCCTGGCCGTGCAGTCTGACTGTGCGTCCCCCTGACCGGGTCGTACTTTGGTGGGAAGCACAGTTTGGGGGCGGTCGAGGGACCACAGGGAACACGAGTCTATCAGCTCCGCGAAAGATACAGTGTTATTTTTTGGTTAGAAATTGTGTTGGAGTTACTGCATCTCAGGACCAATAAGATTATATTGTTGGTTATACTTGGGGCTGGAAAACTTATCTCAAAATTATGGGGTAGATTTTATGGCTACTTTAATAGGCCCTTCTGGAGTCTGATAATCTCACTTGTAAATTTTGCACTACTGTTATTTACATTCAAGTGTCTTCTCCAGACCCATCCGAAATTCTTGTTCTGGTATCTTGACATGTTTTCTGACATCTATTTTTCGTATAAAAAGTGTAATCCGATTGAGGTTCAACTTATTTTCTCACATGGTGCATAGTAATGCCATCAGAGGTTGTTGCTGAATTATAGGAGTTTTTTTTTTTTTTTTTTTTTTTTAATGTAAAGTGTTTGTGACTTGTCCATGGAGAGGTTATGGGAACCTTGTCTTTTTAGATTCAAAGCTGTTTCAGTATGGCAAGAGACATGATCTGTTTTTGCTGGGAAACCAAGTAAGGTGTGTTGATAGATTTCAGGCATGTTATTAAACTAAATTTGGAGGGTTCAAGAGTTTTAGATTGGCTGTATCAAAGGCTTCTTTGAACTCAGCCTCCCTCACTTCAGGTGAGCCAGGGCTGTTCCTGTCACTGGCACAGTGGTGCATTCCTATTTGTAGTTAATGGCAAGCCATAGAACTAGTGTCTCAGCTTATATGCCAGGCTCTTTAGTTTAGTGGTCACCTAAAGGTCAGTCATTAGAAATATTATGGGTTGCCTCAAATGCTAACTCTTGGACCTCATGCAGAACCTGGTGAATTAAAATCTCCGAAAATGGACCCTGGGAAAGTCTAGGCTTATAAAGCTCTCCGAATGACTGGTGTGCTAGACGTGTGAACTTCTGCTTTGGGTTGGGTATTCCAAAGAATTACCATTAATTAAATGACTTCTGAGAGTGCTTTTATGTGTAGCTCTTTAAGAGTTTGAGAGGTAGGGAAGAAGGGGAAACATGAAAAATACAAAACTGCAAATTGAACATCTTTCAAAATATAGCAGATTTGTGCAGGGGAAACAGCTTTGCTTCCAAAGGTTATTTGTCCACAAGCCATTAGGAACGTATTTGATGAAAGTAGATGGCTGCTTAACTGGAGGTACATCCAGAGGTACATTGAAGAATCCAGAGGGAAGAAGCAGCAAAGGAGAGGCAGTACATCTGCTTCTCACTCCAAAGGAGTCTCCTGAAGATGCTTCCCAGCATCTCAATATTGTGATTGCTCCTAAACCGTGTGACTCAAGGATTTTCTAGTAAAGGGTAGGGTGGATGTGTTAGCAGTCATTTGAGACCAGGGTTTTGAACCAGGAGGGTTTAATGTAAATTGTAAAACGTTCTTAAAATTTGGTCTAATCTGTGAGGAGTGGTAAAGTCAGTTTAAAACTCTGCTGTAGGTCCTGGTTAATACCTTGTTTGATAACCTGGAGTCTTGCATTACCAAAGGAAGTATTCATGTTTTAGAGGGAGTGAGTGTTACAATTTTGGAAGAGGTGGAAGAAAGTATTATAGTTGTGTAGGATAGTGAAGGAGTTTGGTAAATATGTCATATCATAGAGTAATTTTAGAGAGGTGCACCCAGTTGTTCACAAAAGCCAGAGCCCATGTTTGTTTTCTTTCCTGGTATCCCCAGTAGTTAGCCCAGTACTTGGTACAGGTATTCTATACCTTAGATTAGATTTTGAGTAAATGAATAGTGCTGGTATGGGAAAAAGAACAGTTATGGTAGTTGATAGCAGTATTAGTTACTAAAAGCTACTTGATATCTTGCATTAGATTGAAGAGCCAGTTTTCAGTCCTTATTTGTAATTTTTGATATTGTTTCAAGAGATTTGTTTTGTTTTTGTTTTTTTGAAACAAGATCTTGCTATGTAGGTAAGGCTGGCCTTGAACTCAATGATTCTGTTGCCTTAGCTGCTATAGCGTGTGCACCATGCTTGTCTGAGATTGGATTTTCTACAAAGGTGATCAGTGATTTCTTTTTTTTTAATTTTAATTTCTGTTTTTGCTGTCAGTGTTTTCTGCAAAGACTGTTAGTGTCAGTGACAGTCTACTTGACCAGTACGGCTTGCTTCAAGCCTAGGTTATGCTCCTCTTTTTGTTTGTAGCACTATCCTGTTTCCTAGTTTTTGAGTCTTAATGTGTTTCAAGATTTTTAGGTATTAATGACTTTTTTTGGTCTTTTTGAGGCAGGGTTTTACTGTGTAGTTTAGTCTGGCCTTAAACTCACTCTGTAGCCCAGGCTGGCCTTGAACTCACAGTGATCTTCCTGTGAGTGCTGGGATTACAGGTATGTGCCACTAAACTTCCCAAGTGCTAGAATTACAGGCGTGTGCCACCATGCCCAGCCAGTGACTTTTTAAAAAGAATACATTTTTTAAACGCAGAGGTCGTATAGACTATGGAAAGCTCTGGGTTGGCAGACAGACATAGATTCTGATTACATTTGTGTCATTAATTGCTGTTGGGAATGTCATTTAACTTCTCTGGGCTTTGTTTCCTCATCTGTATAATTAAGGGCCTGTACTCATTGACTACTTAGTCTGGTCCTGCCCATCTCATCTCATCCCATATAGGTGAGTATTTTTCATGTGAAAGAAAGAAAGAACTAATGTTCTTTTTTGGGTTTTGCTTTAATTTATGGATTTTATACTTTGTCCAAAAGTGATCTGAAAATTGAGTGCATGTTGCAAGTATTATGAAGAAAGAACATGCTTATTCTGTTGTAATTCACTTAGTGTTGAAATCAAGTCAGGTTTCACATAAGGAACTTCATAATTTGGTGTGAAGCCACAAGACTAAGAATGGTTTGGGAGAAATTTGTGCAATTTGTGTGGCTAGTTGTTTCTTACAGACTACCCAGTTCTTTAATTTTCTATGGTGAATTTAAATGTGATTTTACAATCAGTGAAATATTAAATTTAAGACAATATGAAATCACATCCATATTGGATTATACTAGGATTCCTAGTAATTGTAGAGGCTACCAAAGTTATTAATATGTCATTGCTATTTTTAATCTCAATTTTGTGGTACTGATAGTGGTACCATGCATTATTCTTCAATTTTGTACTTTATCTAGAAACACAGTAAACCTTTTAAATTCATATGTATATCAGATGTTCAAAACAAAAGTTGTTTTAGAATGACAGTGGATTGACCAGCACAGCTTGGTTTGAGCCTAGGTTGTGCTCCTCTTTTTGTTTGTGGCAGGCCACATAAAACTCTGGGCTCCAGTTCCTTCATTAGTAAAAGGAGGAAGAGCAACCTCTCTACTTACTACACAGACTGTCGGGGCAGAGCAAATGAAATGGTATATATGAAAATCAATCTAAATATGTAAAAGGATGGTACTGACCTAGAATCCTATTGTTTTAGGCGCCCCACTCCTTTTTGGCTTATGGAGCAGTGGGAACTTGGTATATGTTGTCAAGTGCAGAATTTCCTAACATCACTGATACAGCAACAGAAGAGGTGTTTGGTTTTGTGTTCTCCCTTGAGAAACCTTTCAGCACTTGCATCTGCTAGTAGGAATAGTCATAGTGTTGCGGGGACTTCAGAGGGATCATGTTTGTGGCAGAGTTTTGTACTTGCTATATTTCAACCATTTTGTGACGTTGGAGCTGTGGTGGAAGGTAATAGGAACAAGAAGTTTATTACATTTTGCATGAAGTTCTAGAACTTTCTAATGGTAGGTGGTAGTGTCATAGGCCAATGAAAGCATTGTGATTATTTTATTTTATTTTTTGGTTTTTTTGAGGCAGGGTTTCTCTATGTAGTCCAGGCTGGCCTTTAATTCACTATGTAGCCCAGGCTGGTCTCAAACTTGTGGCAGTCTCCCTGCCTCAGCCTCTTGAGTGCTGGTATTACAGACATGTGCCACCACACCCGGAAAAGCATTAAAAAATGTATCAGTACATTGACAATGCTAAAAGTAAGTACTGATTTAGGACACTTACTGATTTTTTAAAAAATATGTTTCTGTTTACTGGGATGCAGTATAAAAATTATTTTTTCTTTAAATTATTTTTTCAAAGTAAGCAGTTTAAGGAAAGCAGTTTAGGAATACGGTACCTTGGCAATTCAGGTAGAATGACTGAAATAGCTAGGCGTGGTGGCGCACACCTGTAATCCCAGCACTTGGGAGGCTGAGGCAGGAGCATCATTTCCAGTTCAAGGCGAGCCTAAACTGCATAGTGAGAATCTGTCTCAAAAAGACAAAAAAAAAAAAAATGACTGAAATATTAAGGCACAGGTGAGAGCTGTGGTATATGTACCTATAATCCCAGCTGTTTGAGAGGCTAACTTGAGCATTTTAACAAGATTTTGTCTCAAAAAAAAGAAAGACTGGCTATGTAGCTCTGTGACAGT